GTTGGGTAGAGACCCCCTGTCCCGAACCAGAGAGGCCAGCGCTGCAGCCGCAGAGAGAGTGGGGGTGACAATCTCCATGCAGGTGAAGAACCTTGGTCTGAGCCCTCTCCCCACAAGCTACGGCGGTCCAACTGCTTTGGAAGGTACCTTGTATTATAGATTGGCAGGTGGGGTTTTTTCCCCCTAGGACTCGAGCATATTATCAGCAATTGTCTATATTTAACATTAAAAAATAGCAACTTGGAAAAACTTAAAGCATTTTTATTTTAAAGCTTGGTGACTTTTTATTTTTTAAAATAATGTCTTTATTGATTTCAGAGAGAGGAAGGGAGAGGGAGAGAGAGAAACATCAATGATGAGAGAGAGTCATTGATCGCCTGCCTCCTGCACGCCGCCTACTGGGGATGTGCCCTGACCGGGAATCAAACCATGACCTCCTGGTTCACAGGTCGATGCTCAACTACTGAACCACANATCAAACCATGACCTCCTGGTTCACAGGTCGATGCTCAACCACTGAACCACGCCAGCTGGGCTTGGTGACTTTTAACAACTGGCTTGTAATTTAGCAGACTGGGGCCTTTGATTTCCAGTTGGGAAATTATGATCCTTACCGCCAAGAATCTGGCACAGCCTTAGGATCTCACACTTAAGAGAGGACCACACACTCTAAGCTTGGCCTTAGTGATCTCTACTAGGTTAGCCAATTTTTCACACCGTTTTTATGTGGCCTTGTCCGTGGTCAGTGAGATCAGTGTGTAACTTAGGAGAACTGTACTTGGCACCAGTGAAAGAGCTCCCAAATTAAGAAGCCATCCTTTCTGCTCAGCAGTCCTTAGGGCCTGACTTCAAGGTCTGCCTCTTGGTTGCAAAATGGCCTCTGAAGTCCAGCCATCATGCTCTTGTTCCAAGAAGGAAGACAGGCAAAGAAGTCCCTCAGCTGAGCCACCTCCCATGTATAAGGAGCTTTCCGTAAAGCGCCGCCTGAAAACTTCTACTTGTATACCGCTGGCTAGTGCTTAGTAACCTAGCCACCAAAGGAGATTGGAAATTAAGATTTTTTTACCAAGGCAGATCGGGCAAAAGGATATCGAGTGGGCATCTGTAATTAGTACCCATGGTACAGCCCTCTCATTAATCCACTCACGATTCTCTTAAGTAACACGGGTAAAAGGCTTACCAGGGTCAGGCCCAGGGTCAGCACTAGGTGTTGGTTTTGAGTTTCACGCCTGCTGCCTCTTCCCAGGAATGACTCACTGTGAAGCAACTTTTATGGAGGGTTTTTTATCATAAGTGTTTTCAGTAGCCCTGTCTGTGCAGTCAGACCACCCGAGCCCAGGGGACCTAAGAACTTACTTGTTGCAGGCCTGGCAGTAACAACAGTCTTACGGCGCTAATTGCTCTTTTTAACTCTCCATCTGTATGTTCTCATTAATATGGCTAACAGGCCTCCGAGGTAGGCAGGAGCAGATATCCAGCCCATTTTATAGTCAGAGGCTCCAAGTCATGGAGCTGAAACTTATTTGGCTTAACAGGAAGTGAGACGTAAGTTGCCTGAGGTCGGTAGTAAGATTTACTACCTCCCCATAAAAGATGCCCAGTGTCCTGAGGGGTGGAAGGAGCTCAGGCTCCCCAGCTCCGGCATCCAAAGGTGTCATTTTAATAGGCAAATCTTACTAATTTTATACCTTTAGACTCAGAATAAAATCCATATCCCTGGCTTGCCCTGCCATCCTATGCAGAGTGGCCTCTGTTACCTCCCTGACCCCCATTTCCTACCGTTAACCTTACTAACACCACTCCAGCTACGCCGGCCCCCGTTTCCGTGCCATGAAAACTCCAACCGCTTTTGTGCCTCAGGGCCTTTGCACTTGCTATACCCGCTGTCTAAAACACTCCCTGTGCCTCCAGTTCTTCACTGGCTCCTTGCCATCCTTTGACACTCAGTTCAAATGTCACCTCCTCGGAGCCTTTGATGGTGACCCTAAGGGGCGCTTATTCCTACCTCTTCCTCTCCATGCCCGGCACCCAGTAAAATTGCTAGCAGAGATCTCTGCTTAGTTCCTTCACCCCACTAATCTTACTCTATAAGGTGTGGTTCGTTTGCTGGTTTCTTTTCTCTGTTATAAGTGTTGGTCTTGTTCAACACTTTAGCCCTCCGAGTTTAAAACACCTGGCTCATAAATGCCCAGTAAATATTTGGGTGGTAATGCGTAACTCTCAGAGCTGCTGTAGGGATTAAATAAACCCATAAATGTAAGTGCGGTTAGCATCAAATGTGGGTATTTTGAGAAATAATCCGCCTCCGGTATCCAGATGTGAGACCACCCTGATAGTCCGTGAGTTCCTCAGTTTCGTCATCTATAAAATGGGTCTAGGAATACCTGCCTCCTGGGTGGGTTTGAGAAATGAGGTAACACATGGGCGCTGTTTGCTGCCGTGCTGCACACATAATAAATGCTCACAGTAAAGCTCACCCACGTACGTGACCTTGGGGAAATTACAAATCCTCCATACATTTAAGTTTCCCGAGAACAGTCCCCCCCTCACAGCGATGTAGCGGGGATTCGATGAGATCACCTAAGTACGAAAGCCACCGCGTGGAAGGACAGGGGCTGGAAGAGTAGCCGGTCTCACCGCTGGGCTCACAACGGCCTGGTAAAACTCTCTGTATGATGACAGAGATCTTCTCACCTCCACTGTCCACTGTAGTAGCCACGGCCCACATGTGGCTACCGAGCACTTGAAATGTGGCTAACGCGGCCAAAGAACCACATTTTAAATTGTAACCTTTTTTAAAAAAAAAATACATTTTTATTGATTTCAGAGAGAGGAAGGGAGAGGGAGAGAGAGATGGCTGTTTCGAATGTTGATCTGTAGCACATCAAAGTGACTAATAACGATTCAGAAATAGTCTGATTAAAGCGCGCTCGCCAAAAAGTGATAATCGTGCCTTGATGAGTTTGGGATGTTGGAAACATCTGCTTTCTGTTCCTAGAAGGACGTCGGTCAGGAGTCCAGAGGAAAGGATGTATGTTCGAAGAGTTTTCCATCTTGATTTACATCAGCACTTTTTGTCCCGTGATTACAATTTTTTGTGTGGTTTGATTTCGTTTTAGAAGTTTTAATTTGTCTTTAAGATCACGGCGCTGTAATTTTACTACATTGTGGAATTCCTAGGTGGGTGGAAAAAACTCGAGGGCCTCCTATTAGTTTCCTGAGACACCGTGATTAGCCTTTTTAGTTCATCAGTAATTCCTCTGAGATTTATTTCCATAGATGTCTGACGAGCTTTATTAAGCTTTAGTCAAGTAGGTTCATATAAAGCAGCATTCATACACTGGGGCTGCAGATAAAACTGATTAAAATCCTGTCACCAAAGTAGACACTGTAAAGGGAATAGTCAGGGTAGGTGGGCGGGTCTCAACTGGGCGGCGGTTTTGCCCCCAGGGGCATTTGGCAATATCTGGAGACAGTTTTTGGTATCCACCCCTGGGGGAAGGAGGTGTCGCTTGTGGCATCTGGTGGGTAGCAGCCACGAGACATCCTCCAATGCACAGGACAGCCCCCCACCGTCAAGAACCACGCGACCCCAAACGTCTATAATGCTGAAGTTGAGAATGAGAAAGCCTGAGTGGGATGTCAAGAGGTGCAGGGGAAAAAAAAAAAAAAAGTTTCAACCTTAGGCCGTGAAATGTGCTGGGAATTGCGTCGTTTCGCTGTGCTGGGCCTCAGACAGTCACCCCGAGGGTCCTGGGGCTTTGCGTGAATCCTCAGGGCGGAGGGTCAGTCTTGTTTTTTAGGGAGTGAGTGACATTTTCAGGGACGTCATCCAAAATAAGAACTTCCCTCCTCCTTAAAATTTCCTGGGAAACAGGCTAGAGTGTAGGTTGTGAACGATGTGCGGGGCTGAGTCCTGAGCGTGCCGGTAGCTGCTGGGAATGTAGGCGATTGGTCCGCCTGCCGCAGGGAAGTCCTGAGAAGCCGGACGGACGGCCCGGTATCAGGTGTGCCCCCAACGAGTAACGGGCCCTCTACAGCCTGTGTTCTGACAGCACGTAATGAAAATTAAAGTTAAACCCTTTCACTTCCAGTCCAGGTAACTGTATAATTGTGCGTGTAGGTATACGGATGTGTGCGTTCGTGTGTTTAACACACTAGTCAAACGTAGAGCCAAGGAGGAGCCGTGTAACCAAAAAGTGAAATAAACTCCGGCACGAGAGCGGCGTTTCTCAGTCGCTCTCTTCACTTCTCCCTGCATCGCTCCCCGGCCCCCCAGCTAAGGAAGCTTTAGAAGCCATCATACCACGCACCACGTATCTTGTTTACAGATGTGTATCTGTGCTCTAGACATAAAAAGAGCCGTGTTTTTCCACACACGCCCCAATAAGAAACTGTCACGCCTTCGGGACGGTGTCACCCCCGGTGAGACCGCGCAGCCTCCCCCGTCATTCGGGGCGAGTGTTGGGATTGTCTGGAGTTCCCTGTGTGACACCGGATGACTTTCCGAGTCTCCCATGTTTCCTGTTGCGTTTTGTTTTTGATAATCGGGTAACACCGTTGCTACCTGCTGAGCGCCTCAAGTTGAGAACAGCCCTGTTCCTTCCCTTGAAAGTCTCGCGTCTAGTTGCCCTGGTCAGGCCCGTTGTAACCCAAAAGGAATCGTAATGACAGTCAGACCAGGAGAATTTTAACGTGGATTTAAGCAAGGTCACTGCTTTGTTTTGTGACTTTTTTTTAGGCCACTTTTAGATTCACAGCGAACTCGAGAGAGTACGGAGACTTCCTATGCGCCACCCACATTAGCTACAATGAGGAGCCTACGGACGCGTTAGAATCACCCACCGTCTGTAGTTTCACCTTAGCGCTCGCTCCCGGTGTCGTCCATCCTGCGGGTTTGGACGATGCGTGTTCATCGCTGCAGTGCAGTGTCCTCGGGAGCATTTTCACTGCCCTCTGTTGCCAGCCTGTTCACGCGGTGTTGGCGGGGAGGCGGGGAAATGGGAGCCCTGGCGCATCGCTGGTGGGAATGGAGGGCGGTGCGGCCCCTCGGACGGCAGCTGGGCAGTTTCTCTGTGGTCCAGCAATTCCAAGCTGCCTGCACCATTTACAATCCCAGCCACGGGTTTGGGGAACCCCCCAGCCAATACCCGTCCTCAAGTCCATTCAGGAATTCAGCTCCTACCACATCTTGACCAGGAACGAATCCCACGTGGATTACTCTCCATTCCGATCAATTAATTCCCTTTTACTTGTTCCAAGGCACCTCCGTGTGCAACGCAGCATTGCTCTGGTCAACCTAAGAGATGTGGTGAAAATGTGACTCTTCACCTTCCCTGTGTCCTTAATAATAACCAGCAAGATATTTCCTTCCAACCCACAGTCTCATAAAAAGTCCTGACGTTTGTAACCAACTCGCTCAGGTAGAATGTCTGTGTCGTGTTCGCCGTCTCCAGGTCCCAGGCCAGCGGCTCCTCTTTCCGGGGTCCAGTAGTGCACGTCTGGGCCTGGCGTGGAGCAGGCCCGCACTGCTCAACGAATATTTCTGAGTGGAGGCTTTGTTTTGTAAGTGCTGCGTGTGTCCCACACGTGGCGACCACCATGCTAAGCATACACGTGCCCGTGTTCTCTTTTGCAGGCTATTGGCTGTACTCTGAACTGCAGTTGCCCAAGTTTCAAACCAGGGAAAATCAACCACCGTCAGTGTGAGCAGTGCAGACATGGATGGGTGGCCCACGGTAAATTGACTTTCCCCCTCTCTTGACTGGTGGTATTTCCCTCTAAATAACTTCACAGTTATTCAGGAATGGACACAGTATCTAAGAATGACAGCTGGCATTGGTAGGTTACTACTGTGTGCCAGGCACCAGGCTAAGAGCTTTTTGTAGGATATGCTATGTCTTTGAATCTGAACAACTCCATGTGACACGTGTTTTGTTAGCCCTGTTCTAAAGGTGTGCACGCCGGTGCCTCAGTGCCAGCATTTTGTGATGTTAGGACCATTCTGTGCGGCCTCATATGGTAGCCCTAGCCCAAGCAAAATACAGAAGGCCCAGTTAAATGAACTTCAGACACAGTAAGCGATAAGTAATCTTTTAGCCTAGGCATATCCCACTTCTTTGTTTCCCTGAAATCTATATGCAGATTTCACTGGGCATCCTGCGTTTTTATTGGCTGAACCTGACCCTACACTTGCCACGTGTGGCTGCCAAGTGCTTGAAACGTGGCCGGTGTGACCACAGAACTGAATTCCCAGTTTTCTTAAATGTTAATGAATTTAAATCTAAATTTAAGTAGCCATGTGGGGCTGATCCCTATGGCTTTGGACAGCACAGACTTCGATGGTTTAATTTGCTGAGCTGGTAACTAGGAAGTGGCCTGGACTCCCAGGTCAGCTGGGCCCCAGTCCAGGTTCTTCACCTGGTGCTTCCTGATGGTCTGTCCTCTCCGTTAGGCACCTGCAGCTTTGTTTTTACCCCTCCCCTTTTTGTTTTTTGCACTCCCCCCCACCCATGCTATTTTACTCAGCGATGCCACAGGAAAGGGAGAGAAGAGTCTCGGGCAGGCCCACTTTGTAAGTTCCCTGCAAAAGCTATTATAAGATGACCAATTATTTGCACAGCCGTGTTTGGTTTTTTCTGCCGGGACGGATCTCCGAGAGTTAGTGCAAGCCTACTTCCTGCGCAGTGCTTCTCCTGAGAGTGGGCATCTTTAAACGCCGTTCTGTCTTCCACTTGTTCTTCCAGCTCTCAGTAAGCTGAGGATCCCCCCCATGTACCCAACAAGCCAGGTGGAGATTGTCCAGTCCAACGTGGTGTTCGACATCAGCAGCCTCATGCTCTACGGGACGCAGGCCATCCCTGTCCGCCTGAAAATCCTCCTGGACCGGCTCTTCAGTGTGCTGAAGCAAGACGAGGTCCTGCAGATCCTCCAGGCCTTGGGCTGGACGCTCCAGGACTACGTCCGCGGATACGTGCTGCAGGTACGGCACTCAGCCACCCTTCTCCGGCGGCTTCTCCCGTCCACGTCCGTGTAACAGATGTCATAGCCCAGCTGCCGACCAGCGCTACAGCCACTGTGGTCACCCTTCCCTTTAATACTTTTTTCTAACGGCTTAAGCCCGACCTCGCGTTCTGGGAGGAACCCAGCGCTTTCCTCCACATCTGCGAAACTCTGGACGGGGCAGTGTTACCCGGTTCTCTAACTTGGGTGTCACTAAGCGGCTGTTCCCCAGTAAACCACCTGCCCCATCCTGGGTGCTGCCTCCACTCCTTTTATTATCTGCAAACTGCCTGTGAGCACAGATGCCATCTGTGTCAGATTTTACCGAGGTTTTGGGGGTGAGAAAGTGAACTTATCTCGCAGAGCCAGAGGCAAACCTCCCACACATGCCCTGACCGGGGATCAAACCCCCAACCTGGGTATGTGCCCTGACCAGGAATCGAACCCTCAACCTTTTGGCGTATGGGACTATGCTCCAACCACCTGAGCCCTCCAGCCAGGACGCTTGGCACAGTAGTTTCACTTCCCTTTCTCTAACAAGCTCCTGGGGGTAGCCTTCCTGTTTTACATCCAGAGGCTACAGAGGTGTTTTCACAGGCACAGAACCTATTCCCTGATATGAATGACATCATTTCTCTGACATATGGAACAGATGCAGCATTTTTTTTTCTTGCCACTGTACTGGAAAATGTCAGCTAACTTGGGTAAAAGTCTCATTGAAACGGGGGTACGAACTTATTTCCAAGACGAGCGTACACCTTGGTCTCACTCAGACAGGCCGCATCCCTAAAATGAGTGCTAACGACCGTTTATTGACCCAGACCCTCTTCCAATGGTCTCATGAAGTAGGTAGAATATCCCCTTTCTCCAGTCGAAAAACCAGAGGCTCAGAGTTGCTTATAAATTTTGCTAAAGCCCAGCTGGTGTGGCTCAGTAGTTGAGAGCGGACGCAGGAACCAGGAGGTCTCCTGTTCCATACCCATTCAGTGCCTGGGTTGCAGGCTCCTCAGTCCCCAGTAGGGGGCGCGCAGGAGGCAGCCTATCAGTGATGTTTCTCTCTCATCAATGTTTCTCTCTCTCTCTCCCTCTCCCTTCCCCTCTCTCTAAAAATCAATAAAAACATATTAAATCTTGCCGGAGTCACTCAACTCTTAGGTGGCAGACCCAGAATTTGAACCCGCCGCTTTCTAAGTCTAAAGGCCATGATCTTCGTACGGAAACCCGTTCGCTCACCTCGAGTGCAGGACCCCCGGCAGGTTAGAAACAACCTTTTAAGGAGAGTAGCATTACGGTCTTACATTATGACATCAGATCAATATTTAATGGTCCTAATAATCTTGCTTTCTAGTGTTGGGATTAAAAATATGGAATCAATTACCTTGAACCTCTGGCGCATGAAAAATTTATGATGTTACTACATCCCTCAGCATCTCCAAAACCCTTACGTGCACTGCGAAAAATCTCAGTAGGCCATCAAATACATGTTCTGTGATAAAATATTTATCGCAGTTTTGGGAAAAGTTAGGCCTTGCTGGAGTTTGAAAGATCTCCAACACTACAGGGTAATTACAGCTGTGCTCTGTGAGCACGGGCCATGGATCGATACAGGTTCATTTGTTTCCTGATGGTAGCTGCTTGGGCGGATTATTAAAATGCAGTGAATATGTCTGATTGCTCCATCTAGAGTCTTTAGGTAAAGAAGTTACTATTGTTCAAAAGATATGCTGTGTGTGTTTTTCTGTTCTCACCCAAGGATATGTTTATTGATATGAGAGAGACAGGAAAGGGGGAGGAGAGAGAGAGAGAGGCATCGATGTGAGAGAGACACATCGATTGGTTGCCTCCCACACGCACCCCGACTGGGGCTGGGGATCGAGCCTGAAACCAAGGTACGTGCCCTTGACTGGAATCGAACCCGGGACCCTTCAGTCTGCGGGCCACTGAGCCAAACCAACTGGGGGGGGGGTGTCATTTTCGAATATGTGCCCTGCAGTGCCCGTGGAGGCCGAGACCCCGTGGCTCCTTTCTCAGAAGAAAGTGTAAGGAGTGGGACATTAACTGTGCTTTTTGTTTCTGGTCTGGGTTCAGGACGCCTCGGGAAAGGTGCTGGACCACTGGAGCATCATGACGAGCGAGGAGGAGGTGGCCGCCTTGCAGCAGTTCCTGCGTTTTGGAGAGACCAAGTCCATAGTGGAGCTCATGGCAGTTCAGGAGAAGGAGGAGCCGTCGGTCATTGTCCCGCCCTCCGCAGCGAACATGGACATTAGGGCCTTCATCGAGAGCTGCGGCCCCAGGGGTGCCAGCCTCCCCGCTTCCCTGGACAGAGGGAGTCCCGGCAACGGGCACCCCTTTGAGAACCTCGTAAACAACATGACGCTCATGCTCCCCCTGCAGTTCTTCAACCCGGTGCCTCCTGCGCTGATTGGGCCACTGCCCGAGCAATACGTGCTGGAGCCTGGCCAGGACCAGGGTCGGGACCCCAGGCAGGAGATCCTGGGGCCCTTCCCTGACAGAAGCTTCCTGACGTCCGGCTCCTCGCCGTTTCAGGCTGAAAAGGAGCAGTGTCTGAGCTGCCCTGACACCGTTGCCACTGGCAGGGAGGACGGCTCCCACCTGAGCGACTCCAGCCCCTACAACCTCATCGCCAAGCCCGAGAGGACACAGCCGTCCCCCGAGGCCAAGGCGAAGCCGGAGAGGAACGGCCTGGGCACCAGGAAGGGCCGGGTGTTCTGCACAGCCTGCGAGAAGACCTTCTACGACAAAGGGACCCTCAAGATCCACTACAGCGCCGTGCACCTGAAGGTCAAGCACAAGTGCACCGTCGAGGGCTGCAACATGGAGTTCAGCTCCCTGCGGAGCCGCAACCGGCACAGCGCCAACCCCAACCCCCGGCTGCACATGCCCATGAACAGGAACAACAGGGACAGGGACCTGAGGAGTGGCCTGAACCTGGCCGCCTCCGAGAACCGCAAGCGCCCGGGGTTCACGGTCACGTCTCCGGACTGCAGGCCGCTCCCCGGCTGCCCCGGTTCGGGCGAGGATTCCAGGGGCCGAGGGGTCTTCCCGGGCGCCGGGCAGAACGGCATGCTTCTTCCCGTCCTGAAGACTGTCCAGCCTGTCCTGCCTTTCTACCGCAGCCCTGCCGCTCCTGCCGAGCTGGCGAACACGCCCGGGGTGCTGCCTTCCCTCCCCCTGCTGTCCTCTTCCATCTCAGAGCAGCTGGTCTCCAACGAGATGCCCTTCGATGCCCTTCCCAAGAAGAAGTCCCGGAAGTCCAGCATGCCGATCAAAATCGAGAAGGAGGCAGTGGAGATTGCCGAGCAGAGGAGGCAGGCGCTCAGCTCCGACGAGGACTTGCCCCTGCAGGTGGTCAGTGAGGATGAGCTGGAGGCCTGCAGCCCTCGGTCGGGCGGGGCACCGGAGGAGCAGCCCGCGCAGTCGGGATGCCCAGGGAAGCCTCTCCCCGAAGGGCAGGTGGCCTGCCACCTCCAGTCGGTGACCGAGCCCAGGGGAGCCATCGGTGGAACCCCTGAACAGGCCACACGCAGCTCTGAGAGGGAGCTGGAGCAGAAGCCAGCGCTGACGCTGACCATGGCGCCCAGGGAGGCAGAGGACGGCGGCCCGGAGCTCCCCCTCCCGCCTGGGGTGGAGCCCTGCCTCCCTTTCCCAGACTACGTCAGGCTGCAGCAGCACCTGCTGGCCGGGGGGCTCTTTGGCGCCCTGTCCACCCGAGGAATGGCGTTTCCCTGCTTCGAAGATCCTAAGGAGCTGGAGCACGAGGGCCAGCACTCGTCGGCCAGGCGGAAGGAAGACGGTCGCCACCAGTGTGACCTGTGTCAGAAGACCTTCAAGAACGCCTGCGGCGTGAAAACGCACCACCGGAACACGCACGCCAAGGAGCCGCACCTGTGCACGGTGGAGGGCTGCCAGGCCACCTTCCCTTCCCGCAGGAGCAGGGACAGGTAGGGCGCCTGCTGGCAGCTGTTTGTCCTAAGGTGGTGGTTCTTAAACTTCGACCCGTTTCTGAGTCACCTGACGCCCAGGACTTCCGCTTCAGGGGGTCTGGGCGGGGCCTGAGAACCTGCATTTCTACGTTCCCCTGGGGTTGGTACAGACGTTGCTGGGCTGGGGGACCACAGTTTGAGAAACACTGTCCTGTAGATCCATCCTCCTGAATTTTCAGTTCCAAAATCTAAACTCATTCGGCCACAAGACGTGACCTGAAATGATGGGGGGGGCTCTTTGTCTTCGCCTTTACGTCACCCTTTGTGTGGGGGTTTTGGTATATGTTACTGCAGAAATGTTAACGGGTTTATTATGGGGGCATTAACACGACATTACAGTATGTGCCTCTTTCTGCTTTTTCTAAAGTCTGAGAAATTCTGGAGTCAGAGACACATCTGGCCCCAAGGGTTTGGCATAAGGAATCGTGAACTAGCCTCTGACATTCGAGGAAGGAAGGGGTGCTTTTAAAATGATCCCTGTAGCTCCCCAAAACTTGTGTGATTTTCATCTTATAACATGAGGCCCGTTGAATGAGACGTTTTCTCTTGATTTCCGGTTAACGGGCTATGTTGGAAAGGAGCAACAGCTGGATGGAAGATTTTTTACATATTAAGGTATCAAAGAGTAAAGGCATTTCCCAGGTTATTTCAGGGATGTTGGGATGAAAGATGAGACGTCTGTCGGTACCGGGTTTTCCTGACACTCTGAGGCTTGAGGAGGCGGTGAGAGGAGCCCACACATCTGCTCTTGGTATCCGTGGGACACTCGGGCGTTGAGCCCCGTGGGGCCCAGAGCCTTGCTTTGTTGCAGCAGGGACCTTTCTGCACAAGGTTCCAGTGAATGTGTTTGTCTGGCTGGTGGTGGTTGTTTTTTTAAACCGCTTGTATGTACTGGAACCTGTATGTCAACCCAGCGTCTGGTTTTCTGCTGACACATCCCTGCCCCTCAGCCCAGAACGCTGACATAACCACAGGTCAGAGTTGTAGTTAAGAAGAGCTGCTTGCACAGCGGGCGACCTGGGAGTACAATTCTGGTGACGTTCAGGGAAAAAACGTGTTGAGGGGAACAGAAGGGAGACGATAAATCGTAAATCTGAAGCAGGATTAAACCACCTCCCCTCCTCATGTATCTCTGGAGATTTAGGACAGAAAATTCAGTCTGTATTTATGTCGATGAGGGTCTTTTTTTCCCGTTTGACCCCAGCATACATTCTGAGCTGTGTCAGGGGAAGTATTTTTCCTGGTTAGGGTCCTTCTCTTATCCCCTTTAAGATTGTGGCCCTTGGTAAGGGCTGTTTGCTCATCAGGTTAGCAGGGGGTCTCTGAGCAAGGCCAGCACTGACTGACAAGTTACACCCAAATGATACCGTAGGAGTCCAAGGCCTGTGTCATAATGGGTACCCATCACCTGCCCCTCAGGAGTAATCACCAGGTGGGAGATTGGTGTGTTCACGGTGCTGCATCTGCAAATACCCTGTCTGGCACACAGTGAGACGTTGCAGACGTGAACTGAACTTGGCTCCCTCCCTCCCTCTCTCTCACACACACACTCTACTATTTCTAGCCAATCAGATTTTGACACCTGTAGAACTCCTGGAGCCATACGCCCTAGACCAGGGTTGGGGACGGCCAGCCTGCGGGTCATACACTGCCCACGAAATTGTTTGGTCAAGGCAGCCGCAGGCGGGACTCAAAATTCAGTCCATCTAGGAGCTTTTCTCATAGCTCATTTTTAAGCTGATAATCCTGTATGGCCCGCGAACGATGTTTTATAGATGTCCAAATGGCCCTTGGCAGAAGAACGTTTCCCCACCCCTGCTCTAGACCCTGACGCAAGCCACATAGGAAATTTTAAATTTTCTAGTAACCATATTTTAAAAAGTAAAAAGAAACAGGTGAAGTAATGTTTCAGTCATTTACTTTATTTCAGTCTCTCCAAAATAGCATCGCTTGAAGATACGACAGCCACATCCCAGGCACTCAGTAGCCATGTGTGAGTGGCTCTCGTGTTGGACAGGGCAGCTCTAGAAGATAGAGGCTTCATCGAGATAAAGTTCTCCGCTCATAAGTTCCTTGTCGTTTGTGACCAGTTATTTCCTGGGACCCTTTGGTGCCAGTGTCCCAGTTAAACTGGCCGAATGGAGATAGGTCCAGCCGTTCTTTAGATGAGGTCCAGGAAGTTGTGTCCATCGGACAGTGGAAATCGAAGAGAACTGCGTATCCCCGTGAACACTAACTCCTGACAATCGCAGGCAGCCGTGGGCCCGTCCACTAGGCACGGGCTGCTTCTCACGCCGCTTAGCATCACTTCTCACACGCCACGTGGCTTTTCTGGTATTTACCTGTCTCCACTCGGAATGATGACTATTTTTGAAACAACAGCCCGGCCTGGCCGGTGTGGCTGAGTGGCTGAGCGTCAGCTATGAACCAGGAGGTTGAGATTCGATTCCTAGTCGGGGCACATGCCCAGGTTATGGGCATGATCCCCAGCAGGGGGCGTGCAGGAGGCAGCCGATCAATGACTCTCATCATTGATGTTTCTCTTTCCCTTCCCCCTTCTGAAGTCAATAAAAAAATATATATATTTAAAAAAAACACACAGCCCAACCCATTGCTAACTGTCTTTTTCCTCTTATAGACACAGTTCAAACCTAACCCTCCATCAAAAAGTATTGACCCAGGAAGCCTTGGAGAGCAGCGAAGACCATTTCCGGGCAGCGTACCTTCTGAAAGATGTGGCCAAGGAGGCCTATCAGGATGTGGCTTTCACACAGCAGGCCTCCCAGACGTCCGTGATCTTCAAGGGAACCGGTCGGGTGGGCAGCCTGGTTTACCCGATGACCCCAGTCCACGGTGCCGCCTTGGAGAGCTACAGCTCGGGCCCACCGGGCGACGGCGCCATCCTGGACTTGAGCACTACCTCGAGCATGAAATCGGGGAGCAGCAGCCATTCCTCTTGGGACTCGGACGGGGCGAGTGAGGAGGGCACCGTGCTCATGGAGGACAGTGACGGGAACTGTGATGGTCCCGGCCTCGCCCCCGGGGAAGACGAGTACCCCATCTGCGTCCTGATGGAGAAGGCCGACCAGAGCCTCGCCAGCCTGCCCTCCGGGTTGCCCATAATGTGTCACCTCTGCCAAAAGACGTATAGTAATAAAGGGACCTTCAGGGCCCACTACAAAACTGTGCACCTCCGCCAGCTGCACAAATGCAAGGTCCCGGGCTGCAACACCATGTTCTCTTCGGTGCGCAGCCGGAACAGACACAGCCAGAACCCTAACCTGCACAGAAGCCTGGCCTCCTCTCCGAGTCACCTCCAGTAACGAGGTCGGGTACATTGTTTTGGGGAGAGGGTAGTCCAAAGACAGGTTTGTAACTTCAATACCATTGGGACAAGCCAGGCCAAAAAAAAAAGTATTTGTGTTGACTTTCTAGTCGCCTACTGCAGGATGAGCGAAAGACGAGCCTTGTGGGGAGCTGACGTGGGGGCAGCCTTTCCTGTTATTTTTCTTAGCCCGAGGTATTTTTTCACAGACGTAATGAAAACGTGCAGAAATGCAGCTTCTCCTGGATTTGTTTACACATTCCCTGGGAGATCTCCGGGTCTGCAGATTGACAGCCAGGGGCCTTGGACCTGGGGGCGGCTTGGAGTGAGGCTTGCAAGGTTAAGGGTCCAGGGGGAGCAGGCGGTCACCGCGGGTGAGGAGCCAGTCCCGAAGATCCCATTTTCCAGTTCCTGCTTTGCTGAGTCTGAAATCCAGACTTCGGTTTGGGAGCAGGACTTTTTGAGACAGTCCCTCCGTTTGGAGTGGAAAATTGCTTCCTCTCCCCCCAGCCCCCCACTAAGGTCTCACGTGTTACTCCAGGGAGCTCTCAGAGGAAGCAGGTTGGCCTCCAACACACAGGGAGGGACGTGAATGTTACTGAGGATGTTGGTTCTCGCTCTGTGACACACATTCAAGAAGCTGGGGGGGGCGGGGGGAGAGGGAGGCCATGCACTTAAAAACAGTGGTCTTCGATTTAACTTAAAATAATTTTGATACTATTTAATTTGTGTTTATATGATGTGCGTATTTGGGATGAGTGCAGACGTCGCAGTGTGACCTCCGGGGTCTTGTTCGAAAGTGGAGCGAGTGACGACCTGACCTTTAAAACCACTGCCTGTTTTTCCTTTGGGGAAGTTCGGAGTCTGTTCCTTGCGACGTCCTGCGGAATGGATGCAGGCATGGCTCCGGCAGGACCACGTGTAGATGTTTTTGGCCCGAGCATTGAGAGAATGTGGTTCGGGTGGTTGTGCATTTTCAGGACCCCCGGGTCCCTCTCAGCCTTCACCGTTTTATAAACCTGTACGACTAGGGTGACCTTCGGGATTCACATGGTAGAAAGGAGAGTAGAATGTTACTGCCATACCTATGTGTCTTAATATTTAACTTATTCTGGAATGTATTCCACGTTGTTGTTACACGTTTGCTGTAGAAAGGAGGCATGGTCCGTCCTGTGGGACGAGGCCACCTCCTGAAATTCGGCATTTACGAATTCTCTAAGAGCCAGTGTTAGGGAAAAAAATTGAGTTCATATTAAGACTTCAAGTTAACCATCTCTGAAAGTTATGTTGGGTTTGAATAATGAAAATAGCCTTAAAGAGAATCGGGGGTTGTCAGAGAGTAGCCCCGTGGCCTAAGGGTGAAAGGAGCCCACGGCCTGTTACTGATTCTTTTGACATTAAAAAAATATAATAAATGTGACAACTGAAGGTTCGTCTCTCTGCATAACATGAGATGTATCATTCCTCTGTTTTGGTGCCCGGCTGTTTAATACTCTGGTTTCCCCAAAGTGGAAAAAAAAAAAATTTGTATACAAATGAGTTTTCTATGACTTAATAAAAAATATATATGGCATACTTTTTGTTTAAGAAGGCAAACGGTTTTGTAAAATCGGTTTTGTCACACGGGCTGCTTGTTGTACGAGTGCTTGTGGTCACAGACAC